ATATTGCTAGACCAGGCCTAGCAAAACAACACATGCTGTTAGAGTTTCTAAATCAAATCTAATTTGGCAAAATTCCCCACTGTGATGTTATTTAAACCTTATTATTGTGTAGTTCTTTCCATTCACTAGTATCATGAAGAGAGTAAAGTTAAGGTGAAGAAAGGAAAAAGTGAGCCTTAAAAGCAACTTTAGTTCTTTCAAATTTTATGCCCCATAAACTTGTCCATTCCAATGTAGTGATTTCATGAAGCTTCACAGATCTCTCTTGTAGCACTTTATTCACCAGATCGCTAGATAACATTATCCCTGAGAGCAACTGCTGCAACATAGCGCCCCAAATGGTCCATTACTAAGTAAAAGCTTCACCTCGATCCACCTTTTTGTCTCATACCGGAGGAGAATTAAAAGGGAAAATAGAAAATAAATTTAAATGGCATTTAACAAGCACATATCTAGGACTAAAAGTATTCCTAAACGTCTGTAATTCCCCTTTTCAAGAAATAGACCTACCATATTTTTAGCTGCATCCCCAAAGAAACGTACAGCAGGGAAGTTAAGACCCAAATGTCCACTTGCAAGAGTCAACAGACGCTCTGGAGCGGCTAGATTGTGGACCACAAACTCTGGCTCCGAAGGCAACACGGGAAACGTTCACACACGCATGTAAAAGGGTCTCCCGCACGCTCGTCCGGTCTAATACCCTTTCCTTTTCCTAATCTTGTGTTTACAAAATCGTTTGGCAAGGCTTTCAGTAGAGTGCAAATACTCCTAAGAGATTAGACTCCCCCAAAACAAAACAAAAACTGATTGCAGACCACTGACACCTGCGCTTCAGGAACAGCAATGTTGGCGGAACACGGGAAGATACGGAGTTTTTTAGCAGAGACCAAAAAAAAAAATCAGCTACTTCCATGAAAATCAACCAACAAAAAGGTTAAGCAGAGAACTATCGAACCTGGTGCTTTGGTAACAAGGGTGACTTCTAAAGTAACTCTCCTAACAAAACAGCCCTTCCGCCTTCCTCACTCAGCGTACGCGCGAGTCCAGCAAGATTTCCTGATTTCGCGAGAACTCTTGGCAGCTCTGAATGCGCACGCGTCAGAATCGGAGGCCACGTGAGCAGCCCAGATCTAGCGGGGGAGGGGGCGGGGGGGGCGGGGGCGAGGCGGGGGGGGGAAGCTGAGGAAGGGGA